GAACGATGTTATGTGTGATTATATAAATTGAGAAGTTGAGGGGGTTTTTACCATAAAGGTTTCCTCCTATGTAAATATTAGAGTTCGTAGACACCTGCATGGGCCCATAGGGCGCCAAATCGGGCTAAATGAAATCAAATTCAAGTATGATCATTAATATTTTTCCATAGGAAATAAAATAGTAACTAGATTGTGCCAACATAAGTTGATCACTGAAAATCACCTTACATAAGCATTCCCAAAGGATCTTGCTCAGTGCGGAGGGCTGAACCTTTCGCCACACACTGATTATTTGCAGTGCTGGGCACGCACGTCAGCCCGGACCACTGATAACGAGCAATCCCGTAAAAAAAGCAGGTTGGAGGGCGATTTCGTGTGCAGACGAGTGGCGCCGCACGTTGATGGAGAATATTTTTGAAGATGTGGCCTTGGTAAGCGGGAAGCCATTATTTATTCGCTGATATCACTACATTGCTGAGTTTGGGTCGATAAGGGGGTAAATCTCTTGTCAGCAAGGCTGGGATATTCGGTGAAAAGCCTACCGACCTCAGTTGGGGTCGAAGGGATCGCATCACTAGTTTTTGATGTTACCGTAAGTGTTTGCGTTGAAATTGTGCTGCAATAGGCTGCTTTTATGCGTAATCTAGAAGCCGATGCTATTTGTCGGATCCAGGCAGCTTCAGCTGTTAAAGATTTAATCTGTCCATAACTCTGAGCTTGATGATGGCCAGCAAGACGAAGAATATCATGAACTGTAATTTAAGATAAAAGGTCGAAAATAGCATTAATTAGAAGATAGGGCCGATATTGTATGGGGTGATGAGCCCAGAGTAGGTATGGGCATTGTGAATCTAGTCGGAATCATCATCATTTTGGAGACAAGTGCGCGATATATATATACACGTGTCCTATCCCTGTCCCGAATTACCAAACCCCGCACTGCCATAAACACCATCAATCTCTGCTATCCATCGCAATCCTAAGTATCAATATGAGTTACAATTGTACGGTATGGTTGTACGGGTCGATATCAAGATAGAAATATTAACATCAGTGATGAGAGATTTGGGCTGTGCTTGGACCTTGTGGTTCTAATATTGAGCGGATAGGTTTGCAAAATGAGCTTGTGGCTGTTAGGCACAGATTATATCACTTGGTGAAGCGAAAGGAAAATCGAGGAGTCTGTAAATCTGTCGTGGCGAGTTGTTAATTACTCCCACTAGGACACAAAGTGCTATATAAACAATATTTTTTAATGAGAAAACCTAGTGGTTGTGCTTTACGTCAAAGCGCATTCATACTAATCTCACAATTGTGATGTGTTTATTGTTCTATGAAGTCTATGACTCTCTAAGGACATGTAAGTCCTTTCTCCCTTCAGGCCGGGAGTATCTATGCCTCGGGTAGTGTACTCCCTCCATTGCCTCCCTCACAACTTCTTTCCAGCAGTAATATCTCCACAGGTCTTTATTCAAGTACACACTAAGAGGAGGCGTTATCCCGTCATTATCTCCCCTCTCCAGCCAACGAAACGATGGCCATTTGCGAGTGTATGGCAGCCGGGAAAAATCGCAAAAACCACTGGGTGCGGGACTCTCCTAATACCGACATTAGGACTAAATCCGAAGACATAGTGATCCTTCTGAAGCGTACGAAGAGGCCGGTCAGCTGGGCGTTGCAGACTTGCGAGTACTTCGGGAAATTCGCCCTCTGACTCTCTAGCCTCCTTCCAACTCCTTCCCGAAGGTCGTTGTGAAATGTCAGAAAAGTCTTGACAGAGCGTGATTCCTGTTTGGTAGCTTAGCCCAACTTCTTCTGTGCTGTCTGGGGCGCTTGGAAGTGCCATTGACTCATCGACAATTGAGGTCCTCCCGGCTAGTTAACCAAAATCTCGGTCTTGGCGCCCATAAAAGCTCCAAAGTTGAAACTGTTGTGAAAATCTGGGTTCATAACTGTACACACCTTCAGGGAATAACTGTGCACCAGCAAAGTTAACCCCTTAGAGTCTGATCACTATTGCCTCCTGGTCGCTACACACTAACATCAACGTGCTCACTACAATGAGTACACCATTGTAGTTACTCTAGCTATCATAGACAATAGAATAGAATAGAATTCAATTTAAGTCCCTACTGAGTCTATGACTATGAAGGACTGCTAAAGAAAACAAAATAACTTTAAAATTTAATAGTCTTTTTGACAATTGATTTACTTAATATGTACCAATAGATACTGAGGGTCTTGCCCTAATTATTTAGTCTCTCCATTCCCATTATTTTCCAAAATACTCATTTATCTGTCCTTCCTGTACTTCCCCTACATTTTCCAGCCTCTGAAGATGCCACTTTCTGGTGGATATTTTTGTTGCTTCGATAAATTTAATTGTATTTTCTATCCCAATTTTAGTTTGAAATAATAGCTTTAAACTCAATTGGTTTCCATTTAGACTTGTTTTAAGCTGATTACGTTCATGCCTGTAGTTGCTGCAGCTCAGTAAAAGATGTTCAGGTGTTTCCCTCTTCCCACATCTGATCATAGACAATAACATGTAGTGGAATAAGGGTAGGAACTCCTGTATATAGATAGGGCCTTTTTACTCTCAGTGTCTACATCCATCATCCACAAATATAATTCACCATCAATCATCTTACTCTGTCCAAGTGATCTATTGAATTCTCCCATACCTATCTGTATTCTATTCACAAGGTGACGTCTCCCTATCCATCGCCCTCAGCCTTTCCATATAAACCCTCTCCAAAATGTCAGTCCCAGCATCGCCTTCAGACCTGTTCCCCCTCTCGCTTCACATCTCAGCTGCCTGTCCTTCCTCAGGATGTATAGCTCCATTAGAGCTTCAGTCCCCAATAAGCCAAGACCTGAACTTTCTATATTATGACTTAATTTCCTCCTGGCGGGTATTCGTAGCGTGATAAATTTGTAGTGAGTGACGCCCGGTAATCAATGAGGCAAGCTCCTGTTTGCAATTGGGTCGACGCCTTTATCGGTCGTTGAAGCGAGATGATGTGTGGTTAGATCGAGGTTGAGTACTCAGAAGATAATGGTGAGTGCTACATGATTGAAAAGTCGTCAAATGGAGATATGGATGTGTTTGCTTTCGACTTCGATTCGGATGCGATTCTTCTTGGCTATCCCAGATATGCAGAGCATACTGAGCGATTACACCGGCACCGCTGGAAGGTGAAGAACTCGTCCAGGCCGGAGGTTGGAGAGAGTTGGCTTTTCTTTTTATTTATTAATTGTGTGCAGCCCAACTACTATTACACTCCAAAGTAGACTTGGAGCTCCGGCAAAGGAGTTTTCGAATACGACAACAAACATCTCCAACGTTCTTCGTTTAGCTGAGCCCTGCAAATCAGAGAACCATTAGGGTGCATTTGTCTATTCATCATTATGTTTACCCAGCATGCGCGCGCAATTTGACCCGATACACATGCATGATATAGAGATTGCTAAATTTTCCGAAAAATCGACAGTCTACTACAACAGTGTATTCTCTCTTTTAATCTAAGCCTCATACAGTAGTTTATCGAGGCATGTGTGCGGTGAGAACCGTATCGTGAGTTTCTATTAAAAAGTTACAGTGTTGGGGTTTTACGTGCGTTCGTAGATTAGATAGCTTTTAAACTTTACTGCAGCAGATCAATTATCGTGTGAAAATGAAGTTACAAAAGGATGGTCTCTGCTCATTGCGAGGCCTACAGTCTTCCGATACTCGCCTAGTTTACTAATTTCTACATTGACGTGATCCTTGGGACCTAGTCTCAAACTCCCTATTTCAATGTGAGTTCATTTTCAAGAGCTCTTGCTTCAGTGGAGGTAGTAAAAGCATGCAATAGATGTGTAGGTGTCACAAACTTCTTGAAAAAGGAACATCGCTAAGTCTTTTTCTAAAGGAACCACGGATTTGTGTCACTGATTTCTTCATTTCATTGTCATTGTAAAAGATTAAAATTTTGTCATTTAAAACCATCCGCACATCATGGGATTCGTTAGGTAGACTGAAACCATGTATAATATAATCTTCGGGCGCAGGATGGTAGGATCTTGGATATCATTTGCTTTGTTGGGTCTATGTAGGCGCCTACACGTCGGGAAGTTTAGTTTGAGCTAGGCCAACTGATACCTGAAATACTCAGGTGTTGTGCGCGTGCAGGCATTAGATATTGTGAATGAAAAAAACAGCCAGTCCAGATTTAGATGATTTTAGGAAATTGTTAGACTACAAGTCTTGGGAAGACAACAATAGCTTATATTCCATCCATGTAAAGACAGAAATTTTCACTTCAGTAGTTTTGCTATTTGTAAAAGAAAGATCTAAATATCACAATTTTTCCTTGATTCATTCTTTTTTTAATTTGCTTTATTTATTATGCCATAGGGCAGTCTCTTCAGATTGGTATTCTAACTACACCATTCTTGAAGAATTTAGGAAGGCATGGTTGAGGGAAGCTAATCACACTTGCAGCATATATAATATTTCACGCCAAAAATGGGTCTATCGTTGTTTTCATCTAAAGCAAGTCTAACAACAAGCATTCGGTCCCAACTTCGATTTTAGAATAGTGGTCGAGAATTATTGGAACTTTATTTTTCATATATGCATTGAATTGCATGTCATGATTACTGTTTGATGGAATTCGATCTCTTGGTGTTCCTATTTCTAGGGGTTGAACGAATAATAAAAACTCACGAGACATACAGTGATTCATCAAGTTCATATGAAAAAAGACCGGCTGCGTTCTCTTTATCGATAAAATTCCCAAAGCTTCAAAGGAGGAGTTAATCGACGGCTTTCGCGGGTTTGAAAGCGTCGGCTTCCTGGTAGTGACTCATCTACTAGCTATTTAATACCGTGAGCAAGGTATCTATGTTTTCAAGTGGCGAGAGTAGTACCGATAAATACTTTGTTGTTGTGGATTAGGTTAGAATATCTCTGGATAAGGCAATAATTTTTTATTTCTCTTTTGGAGTTGCTAATATTATCCTTTCGCAGCGCCAGCCTTAATTAGTAGTATATCGCCGTCCTGCGCATCGTTAGTGTTAAACTTGAATTCAATGATGAGACATACCTCGACGACGTAATCCTTCCCCTTGGTTAAGACTTTACCCTTTGCTTTGACCTCGCCTTCATCTCCAAGTTCTTTCAAAACTGAGTAGTTATAAACGATAGCCTGAATGAAAGTTTTTTCAAAGTCTCCGTGTATAACTCCCGCGGCTTGCGGTGCTTTGGTTCCATTACGGATTGTCCATTGTCGTACCTCATCCGGACCAGTGGTGAAGAAGCTTCCTAAATTCAGAACCTTGCGCATGGCTGTTATTATCTTTGGAAGGGCAGAATCCACACCAAGGTTCTTGAGCTCATCAGCAGCCTCCTTTTCAGTTTCAAACTGAGTGAGACGCTCTTCGAGACAAATAGATATTGGTATGATGGGGTCACCAGAGGCGTGTGCTTTGATCCACTCCATTACTTTTGCAAGATGTTTATTCTTCTTTCGGATGTAATCTTTTTCACTCAGATTAATCAAATAAACGACGGGCTTTGCCGTTAGAAGGAAAAGCGGGTTGATGAACTCGACCTAATTTTGTCAGCATCAATATGATAAGTAGTTCTCTATTGGGTTTCTGATCAGAACGTGTTTTTTATCTCATTTGGCTTTCTCTAATTATGAGAAGCGTTCAACGAGCTGGGATTATCAGGCCTCATGGCCTTTTGTCATCATTTCAGTTTCAAAATAGGGTGTTTTAATTACCTCTTTGCCGGTCCAGTCACCTTTTCGGACGTCACCACCACCATTGAGTAGCGCAAGGACTTTTTCAATGCAAGCTTGTTCCTCAAGTAACTTCTTCATCTCAAGGCTTTGCCCTCCACGTCTTGTCTGTTTCTTAATATTTTCGAGTGCTTTTTCTGTGAACTCAATATCTTTTATCCGAAGTTCTTCGCTGATAATATCCAAATCTCTGACCGGGTTGACATCACCTTCGATGTGGATGATTTCAGCGTCATCAAAGCATCGAACAACTTGAAAAATCGCGTCAACAGCGCGAATATGTGATAAAAACGCGTTTCCAAGTCCAGCACCGGTTGAAGCACCACGTGTGAGACCAGCGATATCATATATTGTGAGGTGTGCTGGGACTTTTGATTTTGGTTGGTATTTCTCGCAGAGCCAGTCAAATCTTTCATCTGGAACGATGACTCTTGACTCTTCAGGGTCGATGGTAGCAAAAGGGAAGTTCTATGTAAATCTAAGCAGAGTAAATTGAGCTTGGGTTTGTTTTTCTTACTGCTGGGTTACCGAGGTGACATTTGGTTATAGCCTGGAAAAGTGTTGACTTACCAACATTCGCAAGACCAACCTACTTGTATCAGCCATGTCCAGCGACACGCCGGGAGCGATATACAATCCCGCTCTTTAGGTTGTTTCCAGGCCTCCCAAGTAGTATTTTCTCTTCCTTGACGGCTTTCTTCGGACCCATTTTTCTTTTCTGTTGCTTTGCAGCAACGTAGTTTCGTATTGCGAAGTAGTTTATTGGGTGGCGAGACCGAGTGAGTTTGTCGGTAACAGTGCCTGCAGTGAACCTTTGATAAATGAATTTGAGAGTTGTTGAAGGGTGATAGAAGAAATGGGTACTCGTTGATGCAACAGAAGGTATCTTTGTTGACGCAAAGTATTGATTGCACCTTTGTGTGGCGAAGAAATGAAGAGGGAATGCTGGCCTCATTTTATTTATATAAGCCCTAGTGATCTTAGAGCCCACATATTCCCGTGACCTTGCTCAGGCTGCTAGGGTTTTCTGAGAGATGTAATAGTATTACAGAGAACTCGAAGGCGCCTGATATTATGCTGAAGCTTTATTGAATTTGGAGCGCAGATGACGTGAGGTAGCTGATCATTGGTAAGATTATAAATTCAACATACTTTGTTTATTCTAGATAGGGGAAGAAGAAAGAAGAGACTCTTCACCTCTACAGATCTGCGAAGTTCTCTAGCAAAAGTAAATCTATCTAAGCCTAGCGGGGTCTTAGTGATTGACCAAAGAAAAAAACTTCGGATTAATTTCTTTTTTACATCGCGTTAGTCCGTTCCTAATCTAAGCACATATGATATGTGGGTCCCTCTTACCGACTTTTCATTAAGAATAGTTTCTCTTTTCCGCAAAGGTCTTAGGTAAAGTGGCACCCATCGCACTCCTACCAGAGTTCACTACATGAAGGAATAAAAGGGAATACAAAATGAGGAGGCCTTGATGGGCGACTGGATGAGGCCTTGATGGGCGACTGGATGAGGCCTCCAACGAAGAGAACGACCCCTGGATGAGGAGAGCCAAAGCTAGGACTGAATGGAAGGGAAAAGTCACAGATAGCAAAGGTGTCAAGGGCTTGGGTGCGTTGTGGCTGAGGCTGATGAAGAATTTGCGCTTCGGCGCGTCAAATGAGGGTTCTCTGGACGATTGGGCTTGACATGATTCAACACATGGGTAAAGTCTGAGGTGGTCCGGTCATTTAGGTGGGACGAGGTAGATGTACTTAGTGGTAGTTAACCTGATCCGGCTCGGCCCCACCCATGCTTAAGCTCTAGTAGGAGAGCAACGGTTGGCACTTTACCTAGCACGTTAATGACCAAAACAAACCAAACCTACTAGAGCTCAAGAGTTAGTAGGGCCGGGCCGGATCAGGTTAATTACCGTGAAGTACAAATTTGCTTCGACCCACCAAATGACCGGAACTATGCCAAATTGCGTGTGTGTGTTGGATCATGACGGGTTCAGCAGCTTAGAATAAAAACAAAAAAAAGCTTCCACGCGAGATTATGAACTTATGAAAGAAAAACTTGTACTGACTCCCTTCCATCGTTCTACCAGCCACCACGTGCCCGAGGCTCGATTCCAATCCCTCTTTCCATGCCAAACCACCCAGGCTTCCGTTCCATCACCTACGAGTCACAGGTATCCCTGCAGTCCCTCAACCAGCCACCGCGTATATTCCACTCTCCTGGACGCAATCCATGAACAACAACCATCCTGTTGACCCCAGCAGGGCTTCCAGCGCCGGTGCCCTCCGTCTCCCGGGTTTGAGTCGCCACGTTGCTAATGCGTTCTGACACTGGACGGGGTGACTGATTGAGATTTCTCTGCAGCACTCATAATTAAGTAGGGCTGTTGCATGGTTAAAGGGATGATAGTACGCAGCGGGGTCATCATGTTCAGTTCGAGCGGCGAGCGTAGAGCCCCCCTCTGGAGCACTCGTTCTGGCGGCTTCTTGTACCACTTGTCGTAGATAATTAGACTTCAGATAGGTAGTTCAATTCTAATTATGCCCCTTCACTATACTCAAACAATTCCACATCTCACGAGATTTCGTACTCTCAAGCACGCATGGAAGATTTGCTTCCGTCGACCCCTCATGTCCCCGCCATTCAAATGGATGCCACCGGTTGGCGCACGATGGGCGTGTGTATCCAGGTCACGGGACATTGCGTTGAGAAGATTAGTGGGAACTTATTACGTAATCATATATTGGAACGCTTGTAACATTAGGAGTTTCCCAATAGAATCATAGACGAACAACTTACATCTGACTTTACGAACTCCACAGGCATCCCGTGATACTTATTACAGGCGTGCTTTGAGCTCCAAGTCACCGTAAGCCACTTCGCAACCCCTACACACGAGCGCACAGGCGTAAAAGGGTAAACACTAAAATGTGCATGAGGGGGATGAATCTCAAATATGTCGGCAGTGACCTTACCAACCACCAGCTCTCACTGTAGAATCTGCAGAGCCGAGATTTAGTATAAAAGCCCTCACTTCGACGAGGATTCCCAATCGCTTCCGCGGTCTGTATCATCTTCATCCCTAAGCACAAACCCCCTCTCACCATTGTCATGAAGCCAACCACCATTAGATCAGATGTTAGGGTCAAAGCCCTTCTCGTCACCAACCCTTAATCACGGAGGAAAAGCCATCCGATGAGTTTCCGGACCGTACCCAGCACCCGATACGGCGATGGTGGATTTGATCAATTCGACCTCGACTGTCACAAAAAGGGAGATATAGATGAATATGCGCGCCTCATGTGGTGCGGTGTCTAGGCTTCGCCTGGCTGGGGCTGCAGGTTTTTTGAGAATTTTTCCCGCGCACGCAGTATCCATTGCTTCCATTTTATTTTTTTGGGTGGAAGGTTCGTGGAAAAGGTGACTGAATTCCACGGGTAAACACTGAGCTGAATGGCTATTCATCCCGGGCAAAATATCAATGATCTTTCAAGGAACATGAGAAGCAAGAAGCAATATACAAGGAGTGGCCTGGGTCAGAAAGGAGCCCAATGTCCTAGGTAGTCTATGACTCAAGTAGAACACTGAACACTTCTCCCTCTCACTCCGGTGTAGTCTGAGTAGCCTGGGCTCCTACTCCGCTCGGAGAGGAAACATACGAGGCCTAATTTCGCGCAGAGAAAAGTAAATAGATGGAGGCATGTTTGCATAATTCAGGGGGTTTGACACGTTTCCCTGGGTGGGTATTAACTGATGAGGGCTGACTTGGGGTGAAGAACAAGCCGCCACAACTTTGCAGTGTTACGTGTAAATGAAAGCCGAGTTTTAGGCTGCTGTAGATGATGATTCCTTCTTCAATAGCGGGACCCGCAAACAAGCACCGCGCTTCGTCTGAGATAAATCACTGACGAGAAGTTTCTGGAGTTCAAAATCCTGATAGTCACAAACGTATTTTCTGCTATTCAGTCCAGCGGTTTCCCTATTTAGCTTTTAATATGTTGATAGTATTTTCGGGGTCAGCGTTGACTAGAGGTGATGCTGGGCGCAGACTATCCATCTGATTATGGTCTTGTGGGGTGAATAGGGGGCCTAGGCTACACTTTTATACACTTCTTTAGGTATAACGTAATAATTTCAATTTATAGTGGCGGTATCTCGTTATAGACGCATGCGTTGTTCAATTCATTCATAATTTGACGGGTTCTTAGCCTATTGGTTAAAGTACGAGATCGGCAACTATCGCTCCTATTTTTTTTTTTGCATCAGATTTTAATTGCGTATGCAGCTATGTAGCTATGACACTATCAGAGAAAAGTACTGTCGCTCCTAGAAAGTATTAGTCAACCTAGGAAACTTATGTTACTTATTGTTGTGCACCAGATTGAGATTGGATAGGGAGCAATTCAATTATTACACAATATTAGACAAAATTAATAGAGTAAGTGGTTCAATTTAAAAGTAGGGCTCTCATGTATTGGAATCTTTTCGATTCTGCCACCACTAAGTTGTGGCAGTTTTATCTTCCCCTCCAGTAACCCAGCATCCTCGGGTTTGTTTGTATTATTTTATGTCTAATAAGAGTGAGCCTTCAGCATCCTCTGATCCTCACTAGGCGGGAGTTCTGTTGTGATCAGGCCCACTTATTGATCACACAACTTGAAATTTGAATTTGGATTTGAAATTTTTTACGTGACAGGAAGAACCTAACATTTATTTAGACGTGACACGGGTGGATGGGCTCTAAAAGCTCATTGCTACCTACCTGACCGGCAGTGGAGAGGGCAAGACTGAACACCTGTCAGTGGTGCTCTCTACGAACCTGGGAGTGAAATATTCTCCCAGAGCCAAGTTCAGTCAAATTTCGCAATACCGAACAAGTTGGCCTACGAGGCAATGATTCAAATTACTCCACCACGTCAAATTTTTACTCCCAACGAGTCCGAATCCTATCCAAGCCTCATCAAGATTACAAGTACGACCTAGTACATCCTTATTCCAATGACCACACCTCTCGTCGACTTTCTCTGGCCTCAGCCGGTCACCAAATACACACCCACGCCGATATTTATACCCGACGGAGGACACAAAGCGTGGCTCACAAATCTGGGAGACAGTTCTTCGGGATAGACGTGAGAGGATTCAGGACAAGTTAACAGATGATGCGCAGGATGGATACTGTCTCAACGGGCGTGGAATTTTGAATTTTGGCATGAAGTTTTTCCAAATTGAGCTTTGTGCGTGCTAAGACTTCGGTTGCGAGAGTGCAGGCGACACTATAAACATCGCCATAGTTGGATGGTGCGGTGGTATATCGTCTGGGCTGGTCTGCCAAGTAGAGTCTGGATAGCTTGGACACATATCCCACTCGAGACAGTAGATCACTGGTTCAAATCCGGCAAAACACGACCACTTTTCTCACGGCGCTGGTGTGCATGGATGACGAAAGCATGCTTGGATAACTAAAGGTTTTGAAATTCCCTTTAGTGGGTACTTACGGAGGATGGTCGACTATTTGTGTAAGCAAGCATACCTCAAGGTGGTATTTGCGAATGAAATCCAGAGTATGAGTATCTCTAACGTCAAAGGAGTCATCCAACAAGTATACACAGCACCGGTCATGTGTCATAGTTCTATAGCTGAATACACATAAAATGATATATATAAAAAAAAGACCGGCAGTGGAGCCAGAAGCGACAAAAGAAAAGAAAAAAAAGAACGGTGTATGTCTGAGTTCCGGTGCCCTGCGCCGCATCCCTATCTTCCACATCCATCTCCTCTCGGGTCAGAAACAATCTCAGCGTGGTCACCTCCCACCCTGTTCATTCTTCGGCAGACTGTAAAATCTGCTTGTAGTTAAGAATTGAATGAACTTCTGCCATACCTTCTCCTCATCATTTACTTGGCCCAGGTAGACCCATTTTCTCATAGCTTCTCCAACGCTGCAAAGCA